GTATAATAATATTATGCAAATGTGCAATGGATGCACTTAAAGGTTAACTATGATGATTCTTTCTTAATCGGATGTCAAAAAAAAAAAAAAAATTACAGACCCGGAGTGTGAGTGAAAAATATATTATTTTGGACGTTAAACAGTGACGGGGCGTGAAAAAAAACACAAGACCCGACAACCGGAACAATACTTCGGTGGACTCTCGGCGGTCATACATGTATAATTATATAGGTATAAATAATACACCTATATTTATACTTTGCACACACGTAGCAACGTAAACTCTCGCGTATCCGTTTCAGGTTAATTAAAACTCAGTCAGTGAAAATAAAAAAAATATAATCTTGAGTTTGTGTGTGTATGTGTGCATTATAATAAAACACACACGATTTAATGATCTTCGTTAAATATAATAATAATAGATACATATATTGTGTCAACTGGGCCATAGATTATATTATGCTTTGGTTTTTTTTTATGAAAAAAAAAAAAAATGAGGGCTTGTTCGGAACACTAGCTAATGAAGTCGTCGTTTATAACAAACACACACGATAATCATGTGGGAGTGTGCATTTTATATATCTATTTAACAATGCGCGAATCGATGGCTACCGCAAACCACGAAGGTCGTGCGGAATGCTATAGTATGTGTTATATTGTATTATTTAATTAATTAATCCACATACTTTTGTCTTTTGAATATTAACGAAGAGAAGTAAGAACATTGTCTCCTTCAACGTCCAAGCTTATAATTCGGTCCACATATTTCTCAAATAATAAAATATTAATACAAACTGTTAACTGCAGGATATTATCTTTTGTAGTATTGAGTTGTAAACTTTAAATGTGAACAAAAATTGTAATATATAATTATTGTATTATATGAGCCAAAGAGTAAAAAAAATGCGAGATTTGATCAGGCCCGTACTGGCTCGCTCTGGGGGGCGCAAAAAAGAGAGCGCCAATCAAAATTAAAAACAAATTTGCATTACTTGTGGAAAGTCGTGGAGGGGGGGGGGAGTCCTGTGTTTTGGTCGTCTAGGAGAATGAGGTTTTTGATTTTTAATAAAAAAAATTAAGTCGTATTACAGTTGTAAATATCTTATCAAAAATGAGATCGGCGCCACCATAAACAGTTTTCACCATAATGAAAAATGTTGTAAATTGCAGCTTGTATTAAAATTTTAATTTCTTAAATTTGTAGTATTCACTTCCTTATCTTTTTTTAATTAAATAAAACAGATATACAAAAATCGACTTCCACAACCTGGAAAAAAGCTAGATGATTATGCTTGAGTGTGATTTGTAAATCTCATATAACATGATAAATTTATAACTTCTGTACGGTTAGTTTTAAATTATAGAAATGTTATATACTCCATGTTATCAAAAATCTTTGTTAGCATAAAACCTATTTATTAGCAAAAAACCTATGTGCTAGATTGCTAATCACAGTTCACAAACACAATTTATAATGTTACCAATACCAAGTTTTATACATAAACCATACTTTTTTTTGGTCAAATGTGTAAAATTATAATAAGTTAAATCGAATATTTATTTACTTTTGATATGTTTATTAGGATTTGATACAGACTATTACCGTCCCATTACGGACGAAACATCCCGAGCACCTGTACCCTGTGGGCTATCGGTCTGGCCTCAGAGTGCTACAATCCGCCCACGCGTCCGACGGTCGTTGTGGAGTCGGGCAAAACGAGCCGTGGACCGTGGGATAGAGAATTTAAGATGAAGATACTGTCGTTTTGGAGCGGCATTTGTATTAAAGGTAATTGTTATGAATAATATTATGAAATCGGTGTTAAACGATTGTCTTGGACCAGAGCGTCACAAACTATTTTTTCTGTATCATGTAATTATTATTGTATAAGTATATTTTGCTTCCTCTCAACTAGCTGGTTCCACCAAACAGCTTTTTATTTTCTTCGTCCTATTACGGATTTATATTTTTATACTGCGATATTTAAATTTGTCTAGCTTCGATGCGTAGCTCAGAAGGTATTGTTTTTTACAATGATGTGCTTTTATTTTTATCTTCTATACCGCTAAACCAAATCGTTCGCCTAGCAGATGTATAGATCAGAAATCGTACCTGAAAGGTACTTTATTGGGACAAAAATTTAAAAAATTTTAATCCTTCCCCTTTTAAAATCAAGAAAAACACCAACAAATTTACAAATATATCTTACTTATGCTTTGAGTCGTATATTGACTCTAATATTATTTACCACCTTTTCAATATTTTTTCTTCGATTGTTGCTGCTGTAATTATTAACTTATTTTTTATCAATCCCTCGGCTAAAATGTTTTGATCTAACCTAAGTATATGGTTATTTCCAGATCCGAGCAAATTCGATACCTAATTGATTTCAACGTGACGGGCAAGTAGGAATGACGCGACGGTGATGCAGTGGCATCGCGACTCCAGCTGTTGGTGCCATCAAGCCACCGCTGGATGGCTACTACGCTCACTTGTAATCTACCTTTGTCCGTCCGTCTGTGAAAATATCATACTTACCCAGAAGCGAAATTGGACAAATCATATTCAATAATCGGAACTAATTTCCAAACAGCTGTGAGACACATCTTTTGTATTTTTCTCATTTTTTTTTTGTATTTTTTTTCATTTCAATATGATTTTTATTGTAATTTTTTTTCAATTTTAATGTTTTTATCATTTTTTATTTGTTTATAATTGTAGTTTTTTTTTATCAAATTACTTGTTAGTGTTAATACTCGTAAATATTATTTATGTCAAAATTTAATATACGGTAAATTGTTGTAATTTTTTAAAATTCAGTCTGAAGTTTTTTTAATACTTAGGTATTTGGCATCGGCCGGCCAGTACGGGCCTGGGTTTGATCGAGAGTAGTACCTATTGGTTCCACAGTAAGAGGGTTCTGTGGGCGAGTGGTCCGCATAAATTGCTAAGTGACAGATTTTCACTTAGTATTTTAACGTTCCCGGATGGCAGTTAGGTTAGGTTAGTGGCAGTTTGGCGACCGCTGTTTTTTTAGCAACTCAACTCTCAAGTACCACGCAGTGAGTAGGTATATCCAAATGAGTTTTATCTTAATCCAAAAACAACAGCAATCGGTTAAATACAAGAACCCCCACAGTGCTAGGCGACGCCACGCTTGTATCACCTGCAGCCCACTTGTCTAATAAAATATATTAAAACTTCTTTGAGTATGGTTATCGAAGGCGAGCGGTCATAATGACCGTTGCGGCACATACGCGTATTAATTGTAATATCATAAACGATAAACGTAAGGTAATTTTTTTTCCGTGCTCCTTGTCCGTTCCAAATAATACTTAGGGTCGGTATTTATATACATCTAATAAAAGCCTATATTTGTAATGGTCACCTGGTCGAGTGCGCAACACCTGCGTGACTGCATCGCAGAACATATTATACTTACAAGGTGGTAGTAAGTAATAATAATAATAATAATAACACAATAATATTAATATAAGGCCATTGTAAAACCGAGGCAGTGTAATATACACTGTCTTTGCACGAGTGCTGTACCCGAGTTCGTGTGGAAATGGGGTTTTAATTTTTTTAAATAACATTTTAACAAAAAAAGAAAAGAATCCACCATGAATGGATCCACGCGTCAAGGGTGAGAACCGATCGGAGAGGACCTCTTCGGGGGAGTGAGATAAGTATCTGCCGAGGACGAGGACACGTAACGACCCTTTTAAATTATAACGTATATATATATATATATTTTGTGCAATGGAGATGTCCGGAGAAACAATGAGCTACTCCAATAAAATATGACGATTAATTGATATTGGACGTCGTGTACACTGTACCTATACTCTGATGGCGTGTATTCAGATGTAATCGGACCTACTGTTTTCTTAATCAATGGCGCTTTGTATAATATGCGCATGTATACTGTGGTCCGTATCGTAAATATACATCCTGGGTCGCTTGCGGCGGCGGCGGCGGCGGCGGTTAAGGCTTTCAATGAGAATTTTATGTCGTAAGCATATAAAGGTATAAAACGTCCCAACATGGACACGATATAAAAACCGAAACCAATAAAAAAACATACATAGGTCCTTACCATACCATGATTATGTTTTTATAGATCCCAAACATGTGACCCGATGGAACGCATTACGTCTTCTTGACTACGAAGCTCACAGATCGTTTTCATTAGTTCGTGTAACGGTCGCGGTCTCTTTGAAATAAATAGAAACAGCTATTCGCGATCGGCCAGACGTTCGTTATATTGTAGACTCGATGTCTGCTATGTTTTAAAAATTCCCAATTTAATAACAAGGGCGTCCAACTGGCAAGTTCCAGAGGGAACATAAATCGGGATTCATAAAAGTAAAATGTATCGCTACAATGTCCGTCAGTCTATAAAATCCCTACAGCCCATAAACCAAAAACGACAAAAAACTTAAGATTTACAGAAATTAATGATTGGTACTTAATTTTTTTATTAGGTAATTATATACGAAACAAGTATCGCATTGCAGGGTTGGAAATTTAGAAAATGTAAAGTGTTTAATATAGAAAAGTTGGGCAAAGCATTGATGATGGTGTGGAGTGTGAACAAAATAATTATTATTTGTTTAAACCCTTTGCATAAACAATGTGACACGTGCAGTAACCGTTTCAAATAATAGTACAAAATGTGTATTTTATTTTTATTTTTAATCAGATTGATGAAATCAAATTTTTACCAAATTCTTTTCAGAATTATATAACTTTAGTGAGCTATGTACTCCATGCACATTTTCGTTTTTCCAAGATCAGAAGAGAACATTTCCCTCCCCCTTAACGGAAGACTCGATAACTTCATTATTTTCGTTACAACAGACTGTTGCAAAATAAAAGTGCACCGTTAACGAGTTTTACACGATGAATTTTACTCGCGTATACTTTTAATTGGAAAAAAACAATAATAAATTACAAAACAAAAATGCTTGTATTGCAAAAAAATAATAATAATGACAAAAAATATGAATACAATATCAATAATCATTAGTTAGTCGTTCACTTTGTACAATACTACACAAAATAAAAAATAAAACAAATGTTCCGCAGTCTACATAGGAACAATACGATAATATCAAAAATATGTCTCATCTAATTGGGCTTGAGTACCAAAATATATGTATTAACAACTAATAATGAACTCGATGTCATTCACCAATGCCTAAAGCTGCCGATTTTCTTCCAAAAGTATAGCCTCGAATAAACTTCAATACAAGTTGTCAGTGGACAGCAGTGTGGATATTGGGCGTTGGCTGACACGGCTCGGCGGATTATGGAACATGTTGTGCCAGGAGGACAGGTTCTACACCGACAACTGTACAACCAAAATATTACGCATGTGTTAAGTAAATAATAATATGGTCGTAAATACGACTGCTTTTTGGGTACGAGTCTTAAGCAGTAAATATATATACTATATTATTGTATAACTAATGTCTATGTTATGCTGAGCATGCGTCAACGATTAAACAACAATAATTATTGTTATTATATATTAAATTATTTTTTCTCATATAGATAATCATGGTATTATTATTTTTTTTTACACTATTGCCTATTACTGGAAACTATTATCGTTTTATCAACTGTAGTAGGTACACGATCTTCTTAGAAATAAAAAAGCGTCGAAGACCTCTATACACAGTTCCTAGGAGCAACATGAAGGAATGCTCTTGACCGCGACTGCATTATTTCAACAGTCGGTACGTTATTCTAGCTTTGAACCCGGCCGGGCAAGTCAAAATGTGTGAAACTTATGTGCGGTTTGATTACATACAAGTCAAAGCCAGGGACAAGATGAGCCGGTTGGGCAAAGGATCACTGGAACCTGTTCTAAATGGCAAAATAGTTATAACTTTTTTACATTTTGTGGGCAGTATTTAAACCGATTCACTGGGCTAGTCCGTCCGGTCGACCCTTGGTTAAATTGAAGATTCATAGCCCATAGGCCGTAGATATGCTTTAACATGTTGCTGTATTTTAGATTTAAAATTATTTCGACTATAATGTAAGTAGTATAAATGTTAAAACTATTTAAAAACATTAGTTTCAAGTTTCTAAGTTTTATAGATAAATATATTTGCTTAAACTAAGATAAGAAAATTTTTAATAAGACTAGTTAATTTATGAGATATTAAAAAACTACCAATTACCTTCTCATCTTTGCATCGAAACTAAATCTTTGTATCTGATGCGAATCAAACCCTTTTCAAAGTTAGTATTTAGTTAAAAGAGATAATTAATTCATGATTTCATTGTTATATTGGCCGACGGTTGTTAGCGGTTTTCGAGCTCTTTATAATTTATTCCATAAAAACACTGTAAACGTATTCCGAAGTAAAACGCGCGCTTCAATTCTTTACCATCAGGATATTAGATTCTTTTTTTTTTTAATATTATTAATAAAAAAAAATTACTCGACCGTTTCTAACTACCGACAAACATATTATTATGTGGCAAATTCCTCAGAGCGAAACCAAAGTGTTGCATTTAAGAATGCATTTAAGAAACCGATTAAATTATTCAATGAGTATAATATCAACATTTTTTTGTCGAATGGCTATATTAATATTAATATTGTGTACTCTATTCTATTTCGTACCTAATAATTACAGCTGTTTCCACACATTAAGTACACTTCAAATCCTCCAAATAAGATTTATAATTATTTGTACTTCATACTAAATTTATGCATTATTACCGTACTCACGTTTCTGATAGTATTTGAGCCGAATAGTTGTCTTCGGAAAAAATGCACGATCTTTGTCCACAGCCATCAGGAAACCAAGTGTCGCCGACCTTATATTTTTTATTTGTATTGGGATCCGTACACCTGAGATTGGCTAGAATAAATATTGAAATTCAAGATATTATTCTTTCTGGTCACTAACAAAACCAATATGGTTAACTCTTAATTAACCCCTACGGCTTTTCGCATTGTTTTACCTTCGGCACTAGCGTAATCTGTATTGCACCCCAGGAAAATCGCACAAAATAAGTATTACTCACTATAATCGGGCTGGACTTCTGGTTCCTTAGGCGTAATCGATAGATCATTTAACGACATTGTACCATCAATGGACGACAGATCGTCGTCGCCTTCGTAATCACTACTGTCATTTAAATTCTTGGCCGCGTCGCACCTTTTGGAAATTATCAAAAGCAACAAGGCAGTTGAGTACAAAATGACGAGAATGGATAAGGACACACTCATGTTGTTCGCCAATTTTTAAAAAATTAACTACGGGAAAACGGTTTTAAAATGAATTAGCAAATCCACGTGTTGCGTGTATTTATATACAACTCGAAAAAGCCATACCGTTTATTTGTTATCGGCTTCGACTTCAAAGTAATATGATGCAGCCTAACTTGACCTAAGCAGATCAAGGTCGGTTGCAACAATGTACGTTGCATACCCACCAGAAAAAATATAATATAGAAGGTTTGATAAACAACTATTAACAGGCTATTATACTTAGCCAAGCGATAAAAAAAAAGTTTGCATAAAATGTATAATTGATAACTCGACACTAGATAACCAAAAGAAGTCAATAGATCAAAGTTACTTAGGACTTTTCTTTTTTAGTAATACCACCATTTATTATTAGAAACGATTTAAAAGCATTATTCGTATGTAAGTGCGTACATAAATCATAAGCACGAGGTAATATGTCTTGCACTATAACTTACACAACATTATTTTGGGGGAGGAGAGTAAAAATTGATTACAATTTTAAAATGTCTAGACTATGATAGGTAAAATACGTGTTTTTATTATTTTTAACGAACAAAATAGTAAAAACAAATTTAAGCGTATTCGTTATGCACAACAAATAAGGCCCAACATTTATGAGTATGATTTAAAATTTCATAGCATTTTATTTTTTGTAGTATTTCGGTTCTATATTTTAATAATTTGTCATGAAATATATCTTACCAAAATCTTTATTTATTAGATACTAACAAAAATAATTTTTTAAATATTTATTTAAAATTAAAACACAAACTAATCTAAAAATACACTGATATTTTGTTTGCTTTAGTTATAAGACTTAAAACATGATAAGTAAGTAAAATGATTAGTTTATTATTTTGTTTGTATCTCGACCTTCGATAACATAATGCACATATAGACATTCATAATAAGTTAGCTTTGTGGATCTTGATAATTACAGTTATATATATATATATTTTTTAACTTTTATTAAATTTCAGCCTGTTTGTGATTTGTCATTGCTACGAACATTTATTTAAATTAAGAATTATTTAAAAATATAGAGACAATTTAAAGAAAATAAAAAAGTAAATACCTAGTAAAACCTCTCGTTCACAATGAACATGATTAAGTCATTTTTGCCGAACTTTTAACTATTTACTACTAAATTTGGACTGGTAGATGACAACAATCAATTATCTGAAGTCTATTTAACAATAAAATAATTATTACTACTCAAAAAATTGGTTATTTAATTTTATTATTTTAACGTTGAATAAATGCATAGGATATAATATAATACTGTTTATAAAATCTGGATATAGATATTGGTATAGGTAAATATAATAATAAGATAATCATAATAATTTTCCGCGAATGATTACATTGTTGTTTAACGATGACAGAAAATAAAAACCGTTTGATTAGCTATTCTCTATTTGCATTATGATTTAATCAGCGTTTTGTGCCAGGCGATAAAAAACAATAAGATGGTACTTAAACTTAAGAAAATATGTATTATAGAAAAACAAAACATAAAACTAATATCCAATAATGATGCATTAACAAGATTTTATTTATACTTATGTAAATCTTTTGCAATAATACATATTAATAGATAAGTATACTAATTTCCCCTCCAAGTTTGTATAAGAAACCAGAGCATATTGTTTGTGTTTCGCATGTAAGAAGTAAAATGTTTTGAAACAATTACAAAACGAATCTACCGTATTGGTGGTGATAGTTATTAATTATTGTTAACTGTTAGGTCACACCGATGCACATCTACTTCGTGGTAGAAACTCCTATTTATTTTAAAGCGTTTAAGAGTGTTGTAATTTGAATTAGGTATATCAGAGTTACGTTTTCCACGTAAATGAACAATAATTTCTCGAAACATTAAAGAATTTTACAATATCTACATCTATTTTTTATTTTTTAAAACATATTTTAATGGAAATCAGTTACAACGATTATATTGCTTTGGCGGTATTAGTTAAATTATTCTAGTAGTTACAACTCTGGCTGTACGTTTAGACTTTAGAACTATATATTATGTAGACTTAAATGAAATAAATATTAACTACATACATGACCAGTACATGAATAGCCCCAAGTATAGTAGCTATAAATCTGAACTCTGAAGTTACACAGAGATCAAAGACCCTATTATAATAGTGTTAGTTATTATCAATTATCTACACCGTTTTTCGAATAAAGTTTTAAAACCTGCTTAAAATAATTTGTTGAATGTAATTGTTATATTTTACAATCTTATAAACAATTATTTATGATTAATTTTCTATTTGCCTGGTTTCAAATATGCCGGTGACCAGCTTTTGTCTATAAATTATGAATTACCAAATATGGTATGCGCTCTAGCGGTAGAGAAGACAAACTAATTAAAAATCGAAGGAATGAATAAAAAACTGTTAATATTTTTTACATAGTTTATATAATCGTAAAATATAAAGTTAATGTATTCATATAATTTCATCCTAGAACAGGTTTTATAATTGTTGATAAATTATTTTAGTTACAAATTTATAAAAAACATTTTATTTGATACAATCCTTTCTGATCTGTCTTTTTATTACAATCTAGAAATATCTTAAATGAGGAATAAAATGACGTACAACTAAAAGACTTTAACATGAACAAAACTTCTCTCATTGTTTATGTTATTTTACATACATACCCACATATTTATGTATTTTAATATTTCAGTTACTAATTAAAAAATAAGTATGTTTTTTTTTTTAAATTAAAACATTTTAAAAATTATACAAAAGTATACTTTTGCTAAAAAATTAGCTATATAGTATATACTTAGGAAAATTTAAATCAAAAGTTTTTTGTTAGGAACTGCATTTTGTGACAACTGTGAAATCTTGTTAAAAGTAAAAATTCTATACATAGCCTTTATTAACAAACCCTCACGAAGTGACTTGTTACTCGTCACCTCAATTACCTTAATACATCTCCTTACTAATAACTATTTAAATTTATTCTTAACAATAAAAAAAAAACCTTAATAATGTCATATACACGAGAGAAGTTAAAATAGTTAAAAATGTATGCATTATTTATGTTTATTTTAAGAGAACTAAATTATTATTTATTTATATAATAACTACACACAATTATTTAAAACACTGATTAAATAAATAAAATATATTTTACAAATCAGATGTTTTTTTTTAACATAGCATGGAAAATAGAGAATTGACAATGCAAAATAATACCAGTCAGGAAGAGACCATTTATTCGTAAGCTTAGATTGTATGTCAGTGGGTACACATTTATGTCATAATAGTAAATGAACATTTCTTCATAAACTAGATTTTATAATTTAAAATTGTAAAAAAAAAAAATTAAATCAAGTGATCATTATAAAATTTAATTTTAGATCTTTGACACGTTTTACGTTTGATTTTTAATTAAACATTACATTTTAAAACGACCTAACCGCCGCTCTAAGTAGTCAATTAACTCAACACGAGTTACTGCACAGAATTTGTGAGTTCTGAAACAAAAATAACCAATAGAATTTAGCGTTTGAACTGATTTTAAACATCAATTACTATTCTTACCCGGCATTCACATTTTGTGCACACTTCCGGTTCCCACGTGCGACCTTCCTTGCGTCTTTTCTTAGACGTAGCGTCGTAACAACCACCATCAGAGTCGGTCAATTGCCTTAGTTTGCGTTTAAGCTTTTTAATGTCCGATTTTAGCTCGTTCACCTCTGACTTTAGGCCTTCTAGTTTACTATCCGTCAAATTCATTACTGTGTCCAAAGTGTTTTTGTTCTTCGAGTGTCCGGTTACCGCCGAGGGGGTTTCTCCGGGACAATCTATTAGCCCGTGAATTTAACAGAATCAACATTATAAATTATAATACAATGATAAATTAAAAAAATAATCGCATTTGTGTATTTGCAATGCTTACCGCCGTTGCATTCGAACCACAGCCTTAGATCGATGCTAGGAATGGCGGAACAAGGTACCAGTTTGGGCGTTTGTAACGATGGCAACTTGAATACGTCTTTGGATATCAGAGTGATGTTGTCGCCGTTATCGCAAAGCACCCTGGCCAGAGACGCTTGTTTGATCTGAGTGAGTTTGGCCGAACTAAATGTGGATGGACTCTCGTACCAGAATCTTAAGAACCATGATCGATTGATATATTTAGAAGTTTTGTGAACATTTTAGATATGACAATTAAAATAGTAACCTGTCGCCATTTCGGAGATTTCTGAATTGATCCACAAGCAAACATTGGAAGAGCGGTCCTATTTTACTGAAAGCCATTTGATCTTCAAGAATTCCACCGACCCACACGTCGACATTCCCTATGCACAATAAACGACAAACAATATAAGACCGAACAGATATTTAAATCACTTACCAGGATGACCGTAAAGACGTTTAAGGATACTTCTCACTTCGGGGTCGCTTATTTCATTTCGGAGATCGTCAAATGTTTCTGCTTTGGACATGTTGCAAATGGCTCTCCATTCCGTGTAACCCGGTATACCATGATCCCTACTCCTCTGTATGTTCATCGCTGCCAAGTCCAATGCCACTGCGTGCGCCGACGAGAATAAATGATCGATCAGCTGATCGTTGAGATTTTGCTTGGGCATCTTCCTTTTAGCCGGCACGGTGAAAAAGCCACGCATCAATGGATCGGTACCACCTTCATCGGACAATCTCCATGGCGTGAAAAACGCTTTTCCCAAAGACAAATCTCCCTGCGCAAAAATAAAACTTTTACAATTTGGTCAAATAGTATGTAACGTCGGCTACTTCGTAGCATTATAATCAGCGTATGCGTATTTCAAAAATATAAAATAGTCCAGTCTGGTCTAGTAAAATAACACGCAATATTACCTGAGGAATAGTGGTGAAATTGTCATCGAGACGAGCCAATACCGGATTAATGATTGAATGGCCGAATCTGAGAGCTGCAGTAGCAAATACATTGGCTATGGAAGGGTCTACTGTAGGATCGTACCCTTGGTACTGCCCTAACATCTGCATTCCTTTGGGTCCTAAAACGTACGGCAACCAGTGCTTGTAAGTAATGTGTTGCAATTCGGCGCCAACGATTTTTCGTGCCTCGTGGAATATCGTGTCACCTTCCCAGTGCGGGTTTATCTTGCGCAGCTCTCTGGCTATTCGATTGTGTTCTCTGATCCAAATCGTGTGCATGGCTAACAAACCTACCTGTGGTTATAAAAACACTGTCCATAAAACATGCCACCAAAAACAACTATTCCATCGTTTATATTACCTGCTCATTGGCGCGAATGTCGCCGGCCAAGTAACATCCCGTTGTGCTTTCCGTCAAATCCCTTCGGCAATCAACTTCGTCGGCACCGGCGATGGGCATCATTTCTTTACCCATATCCGAAGATATCCCACCTCTCATCATACCCAGACCGGTCTGGACTTCACGAAGTATAAAAGAACGATCGTTTGTAAATCCGTATATCTAAATGCGTTAAAATGAAAAAATAATTACTTTGATCATATAAAAACAACATCAGCAAATTTGTTTGCTTACTTGTGATCCGTCGATGAAAGAGGTCAGTTGGTTGATTTGTTCTCTTGGCTGTAATTTGTCAAAGAAAACCGACGTGGTGTCCGAACCACATATGGCGCTGCTCCTTATGAAGTCCATACATTTTCGATTCTTTATTCGATCATCGTTTGGCGGCACATCCATCGGGAAACACGGAAAAGAATAGGCACACGTTTTCTTACAATCCAGACCTGTCACGGTAATTGACGTTATACACATATTATTGATGAACGCATTTTAATTAATCTGACCTTCCCAACTCTCTTTGGTTGTCGACGGTATAGCGTGATCTAAATCGTGATCCAAAAACTGACCCCATTGCATTACCATATGCGTGATCTCGTCGTCCGAAGTTATTTCTTTGGTCCGGATAATGGACGTAGACACCAGCCTTGCACTGGGTTTTTCGTAGCCGTAGTACTTCATTCCTTTGGTCCAACCTGTTGGCGAAAAAGCAAACACATAGGAATCGACGTGCATCGTAAAGAGGTTATTAAAAGCGCATTTACCAATGGGAGTGTTGAATCCGTTTTCATACATCGGCTTCAGTATTCTTCTGAACGGCGTATGGGAAGCCCCCCACATCGGATTTTGCAGATTATTGCACGTGCCATCGATGGTTCGGTACTTGGTATGATAACACATGTCGCTACAATTGGGTTTGTACTGATGTCTAAGGCATCCTGACAAATTAGCGATCAAATCGAGTTGTTCCACGGACAAGAGGTCTCGATACGAAAAGTCTAAAGGCAACGACATCTTTGTTTGAGTACAATTAAATTATCAACCGTGTTCGATGGTCACCCACTTTCTGTTAAGTTCATTTTGAGACCGGCTTGCACATGTTTGCGTACGTTAGCCAACGTCCGTTCGAATACGTCAGCTGACTTGGCAACGTCTCTGGCCACCACGTCCGGAAACCGAGACAATCTCATCAACACTGCGGGGTTGTGGACTTTTTCAGTTGCCCCGAACAACGAGTCTATTGTGGCGTTCACGGCTCGATCTACCTCCAAGCTGGCTTCTTTAAAGGCCAAGTGCACGTATCTGTCACCGGGCGATTGTTCCAATACGTCGCCTGAAAAGGAAAATGTATTTAACCGTCGAATACCACACTGGTTTGGAAACTGGCCAGAAAATCCAGAATTCGTTACACAACGTTACATCTCTGTAATCTAAACCCCGTAAACTCTGTCATATGTGTGTTTTACGGCTGGTACACATGCTATGAATGATGTTTACCTAAGACTGCTATAATGCCTTTGGCCGATTCTTGCCCATGCACGTTCTTAGCCGTGCACTCGTAAACGCCGGAGTCGGCGAAAGATAAATTGTATATGCGCAGACTTCCGATGGTGTTCACTCTAAAAACACATGACCAGATCATTTTAAGTTTCAACGGGTTACTTGAAAATACCGCAACACCGTGTAGTGTATATTATCGACCTACTTATGATTAACGTCTTGGACCAAGTCTATGCCGTCTTTCGTCCAGGTGACACCGGGCACGGGATCGCCGTCGGCCTTGCATGGCAATTCTACACTGGTCCGCTCTGGAGCTTCCATGTCGAACGGTTTGACCACTAACTTAGGCTTCCTAGGACCGAATCCTCGGACCTTTAACTCCGTATTACTCTCGGCCGACCCGACCAAGTTCTGAGCCAAACACGTGAACATACCCTTGTCGTTATCTTTAACGTGATCCAACCGAACGATCGTTCCTGTAATTAAAACAAAACATTTATTATTGAGTTTCGGTGCAGAGCTGAAAGTATGTGTGGCTTTACATGATGTAGTAGGTTTATTATTCATTCCCCGTCGATAATGGTTCTAGGATCTAAACCTTCCTATAAAGTTATTTCCTTTTCGACGTCTAAAATTGACTGTCTTGTTCAATACTCGTATTATTTCATGTCTTATAGCACGTCTTTTTTAGTTGTTTTTCTCTATGAATTATTATTAGATACTCATAATTCAGTTTTATTTATTTAAGTCATAATTCTCAGAACAGCATTATTACTCAAGTAAATTTTTCTTTTATTCTGAATGTTTTTATTATGGTAACATATATATTTTGAAATTAAGAACAATTTGCTGAAAATGTTGACTGGTCGATAACCAGTTTTGGATAATTATCCTTAAAGTTATTTACATTTAAAGTTTAGAAGGGCATAAAGGGTCCTAACTTTTAACATCTATAAATGTTTAATTACGCGCATGCTATACAGTTTACTTATAATTATATCTTTAGGTGGCAAATCCAATATAATTACTACCGGACTATAATATTAGAAAATTAAATTTTATGAAAACGATTGTTGGTTTTTTTTCAGTGTACAAAATTGTTATCTAACCACGTTGACTAACAATACTCCAACGAATAGATTTTAAAAGACGAAAATAAAAAATCCCATTTATTTAATTTTGACAACATTTTCAATAATTTTCTTACGTTAGTATTATCTTAAAATCTTAAACCGCTAACAGAAATGTTCACCATTTTCCGCATGAGTTTCTGGCCCAGTTCTAATATATTTTATTATGTTTTTTTGAGGGTTATACTTACTGTCATTATGAAACGATATCCTCGGACCCGGTGTTATGGACTTGCCGTCTTTAAACCAGGTGATTACGGGCTTCGGGTGTCCTTCAGTCAAACACTGAAGTTCGACGGAAACACCTGTTTTTACCGTCAAGTCGCGAGTGGTACTTATGATGATGGGCGGCGCTAAAACGATTATAAAATACACTGTAATCATCGAACAGTCTACCATTATTGTTTTGACTGCGGTTGTTACCGTTTACGCGAACCATAGCTTCCGAAGATACCTGTCCCAGATAATTGGACGCCACGCATTTATAATGACCGACGTCCATCCTCTCCAGTTTTTCGATCACTAGACTGTTGTCTTCGAGAACCTGCGTTTGTGTCGGGTTACAATGAACATTATAATCATAAAATGTTTTAATTTTAATACAATGTACGGAATCGTTTCCAACAGTGTTGACTTGCCTGAATTCTCGAGCTGGGCTCCAATCCTATGTCGTCTTTGTTCCAAGTGATGTGTGGCTTGGGAGTCCCGACGACGTCGCAACTGAGCTTCAACTGTTCGCCCTCCAAAAGCGTCTTTTGCTTAGGGCCCGATATAATTTCCGGTGGAGCTAACGGAACAAATAAAGCACACGTGTACGTTTTTATATTGTATAATATAATGCAGCTGTTGTTGTATTTCGTGGCAACCACTCACAGCCGGACACGCTGGGCTCCACTATAATTTTGGCCGGCCGTGATTTCAATTCGACGTTCTGCTTTTTCACCATGCATTCGTATGTTCCTAAGTCCTGGGCCGTTGTCGATTTTATCATAAGCCCGTGGTCCGTCACCGAGTATCTCGAGTCGTTCATGTCGATCTCGTTGCTGCGCGTTTCAACCGTCATTGTTATTTCGTTAGTCCCACGGGTAATATTTTATTATTAACATTATCATATTATACACAACTCACTTGTCACGCGTCCAAATTACTTTGACGTCTTGATTGCCTTCTACCTTACAAGAAAAAAACGCCGTCCCCCCAAACGTGACCGACACGTCGTTGGGCTCTTCCTTGAACCTTAGCTGTTCTAAAACGCCATATAAACACATATCGTGTGATTTATCTAAACGCGTTAAAACTGAACTAAAATATCGAGGGCGTTCAATCGATAGGCACCGAGAAAGATTTTCTTGGTTTTACACAACAGCCAACCTTAGACTTTAGCCAGCCAAAGAGGATAGTCTTTATAGACAATACTAATTGTTACTAATTTGCACCTACCCGGATATTTTTTTTTTCGCATTTCTATGTTGATTTAATTTAAACTATTTTGACGATTAGTTGTAAGCCAATTCATTCGATATCTTCCAATTGAACGCCTTTGGTGTTTTAACTTTACTTACCGCAATGGAAATCGGATTCAGCCATTTCCATTAGAGATTTTCCGCTCATTTCCGCGGGGTAATGACAAGTGGCGGCGAATTCCCCGGCTTCTGTCGAATCGTGATTCTTTTTCAACACTTTGGCCAACCACATCATATCACAATCGCAAGACAACAGATTACTGTCCAATCTCCTACAAGTAAAAACCGAATTATAAATGTTAACGACTTACATGATCATTGATGCCCCTATTATATTTTATAACGATTGAGTATCTTGTTGAAACGCTTTTTTTTTAATGATTTTTTGTAGGGCAACGGAATTAAAATCTGGACGATTACTGTCAACGTGCCCATTGACGGAACGAACGATAGAACACATGTGTATACGCATCGGCTGTTATTTTAAATGCTACTGGATGTACTCGATATTTTGGATGTTTACAAAAAAAAAATTAATTAGCATTTTTAATGGTTTAGAAAAAAAAATAGGGACCGAAACTATATTTTATAGTACACGCTTGTCGCTTTTAATAGTATATCCGTTTACGGTAGTAATAATTAATACATTAAGACTAATTTTTGGTCTCCGAGTACACTATAAAAACTATTTGTTGTTAAAAGATTCGAACAATATGTTACATATAGGAAATGTTACCATGGATGTAGGTTTATTTTTTAAATTAAATAATATTCAACAGCTAGACTTACAAACGCGTTAACGACGTTAGCGAGTCAAAAGTTCCCGGAGGAATCTTCTTAATCTTATTGTTGTGCAAGAATCTGTTAGGGGAAAAAATAGTTGTCGTTAAAAACATTTGAAGAAAAACAAAAATGGTATCGTTAATCTGCAAGCGCTCACAGTCTCTCCAGCTTTGTGAGACCTTGGAACATATCCACGTGAAGGCTTTCGATTTTATTGTAGTGTAAATACAACTGTTCCAGACCCGATAGATTTTGGAAGACGCGAGGTTCGATTTGCTCAATTTTATTTTTATACAAATATCTGAAAAGAAAAATTACATGCGGTTTGAAATCTTCAAAAATCTTTAAACATCAAAATCGTTCTTACAAAAACTGAAGTTTCCGCAAGTTTTGGAATACACCATTTTGCAATCTGTCAATCTGATTGTTGTTCAATAATCTAAAAATGTCAATTAAAACGTCATTAAATCATAACTCAACATGCACTTTAAAATATAAAACTTACAAAGTATTCAACTCGGTGAGTTGAGCCAATGACTCCGGTTCGATATCTTTTATTTTGTTGAATCTTAAATCGCTGAAATCAAATAAACATGGACATTTTTTAATATTCAGAAGGGCTCACTAGTATTTAGACTATAATAATAGGTGTAAAAAGATTAATATATGATTTCATTTTTTTTTTTTGTTCTCATACTTTTTATCGGGTTTTCAAATATTTATTTCGTCTGTCGCGTTTCGATAAATTATCATTTATCACAAACGTTGCGCATGAAAAAAAACAATACTAAAATCGGTTATCATAAATATTACTTTAATGACTATTGTACTTAAATAACACGCCGAACGTGTTTAAGTATCCCAAACATTAAACGTGAGATGCTGTTGCCGATATAAAATAAGTATATAGTCAGTATTCTTAAGTAGGTATGCTGCTTGCAGCATAATAATTGTTCCTAAGCCGAATCGTCATGATTTATTGTTAGGAATTCGGTAAAGATATTAACTCCAGGTCAAACCTTTACATTTTCGTTCCGAACCAAAGACACGGCCACGAGTTGAACTTAATATTAACTAAGAAGAATCGTCAACTGCTTTGTACAATACGAAAACGACTAGTTATTTAAAATTTAATAGGATATTACTTATACGGTTTATCTCTAGGCAAAACGTTTAGTGTTATGTAAATTCGTGTACGACAAATGAGTAACTTTTTTTATTCCTACCGAACACAATACCTACTAGATAGGGCCTAGGTGTAATGCCGTCGTATCTGAAGGCTGTGTTGTGCGTTTAAATTTTCGTGACCAAGTGATTTATCATTTTTCACTTTTCACGTAGGCCCGTTTCGTAATCGTTGACTCATTCGATATGTGTTTCGGGAGATATAGATCTTTAATACTATTACATTTTACAATATTATGTTTACACGTTTAAATATACTTAATATTATACACTTTTTTAATATCCGTTAGACGTCCGTGATTCAATATATTATTATAGTCGGAAAACCACTCTCACTTTAATTGAAATAATGGTTCGATTTGTGTACGGAAAACGATTGCCGACCTTTTGGCCGATGTCCAATATCAAACATAAGTACACTGCTGTCGCTCACACGCATGTATAATCATATTCACTATATCTCTTTATCGCCTACTGCCGACAATAAAACCACTCGGCGCAGTTAAACTAAGCCCATAATATCGTCTTCTCCGGTGGCGTACGCATTACAACCCACACGCGGTACTTACATAACGAACACACGAAGCCGGTTAATTAATATCATTATAAACACGGCAGCTGAGTATGTGTGCGTTTTCCGGCTTATACTAGTTTGTCGCCACCGTATATATGTATATATATATATATGTATATTAGTTGCCCTTGTATATTCGTTATTATTTTAACGCGTACGAAGCCCATTAGTTATCGCCCGTCGCTTCTCTTGCCGGCAAACGTCTGACGGGCTTAAAGTAGGGGGGGGGGGAATAAACGAAGGAAAAGACGCTGGTGATATTTTTTTTTAAAAAACGTACACTTTTACAGCGCTTTTTTTACCAAAACCCCCAGGGATAATTAATTTTGTTGGCATAGAGCAGACACCAGCACCGGCAAAGATATATGGCACACGGTAATGAGAAATGCGACGTCCTAAACCGCCGGCGAACAAGCAAAAAAAAAAAATTGATAATATCTAACCATTTTTTTTTTATTAATCAGCCAAAACAATGTACTGATAAATTCTGTCGTTTGACAAACTTAGGTTCGCAGTAATTTCCCCACATCCATATAAAAACGATAGTTCACAAAACTATTACATAATACAATTTATTTAAGAATCGTTATGCGTAGGCACAACATTTAACCTTATCATTAAAAAAAAAAAAAAAATTGTCGTTACTAAATAAAGAAGCGTGACTCAAGTTATCGCGTGGTACAGACCCTTATATACAAACCGTTGATTTACAATATTTTTTCCATCGATGTTAAAATCAATACATTTTACATATTTGTTTTTTATGATACATTTAACTTTTTCAGTTTTGCTCAAAAGCATTGAAGATTTTCATAAAAAGGTGCTCAGATTTGGGGTTTTAGTTAAATAACAAGCAAAAGCTGCGTTTTGGTTTAATTTTTAATTAGTTTTCTTCTGACTAAAAAAACAATTAATATTTAGTAACGGTTTTGATTAGTAACTCATTTAAAAATAAACGTAAATTTTTTCTTGTAATTTATTATTTAAAATGATTAAGACTTTCTCAGAACACAATATCGTCTAATATATTGAACGGGTATACACGACTTGAAATTATTTTTGACTTTGTAAACAAAAATCTATAGGCTATAAGATTTATATCGAGTCATGACTGTTCAGACAATATAATGTACATTAGTGCAGTGTAAGCGAATCGAAATGAACTTTAATCCGACCTATGTCAGTCAGTTTAAAAAAAATCATACTCGCTTTATTTGTTTAAGCCTAATCAATTATTAAATATTATATTAAACAGTTTATAGGTTATTATAGGTTGCTAGACAGATACAATTATTTTAATACCTATAGTTAAAATAAACCTGTCAAAAAGACAAAGCCTATTAAAATATTGTGCGGTTTTGCTAACATATAAAGTAAAATGCAGTAAATACCATAAGTATTATGACCGTACGACATTGAGTGGGTGGGAGTACAGAAACGGAAACGATCCCCTAACCATATATTAATAAACAAACAACAAACATATTTTAAAAGTTAATATTTAAATAATATTTATAAATATCATTTCAGTCAAGAGTCAAGAGCGCTTACATATGTTTTTTTTGAATAATTGCTACTGATATTGACTATGATAATTAAGTTCTGAAAAAGTCTAATTTATGTAGATTCGTATCATTCCCAAAGATTTTTAAAATCATAATATCTTCTGCCTTCCAACGCGTCTCTTAGTTACTCCTAATCCTTTCTCGGTTAAGTCATGACACCTATGTAACAAGTTTAAACTATCAAATAGTATTTTGGCATAACATGTTCAAGATATCGATTCAATCTCAACGCATGATAGTATAACTTGATTTTTCGCCCTCTATAGAACTGCATTTGACAATCTACAAATTACAGTCGTCTGTAGTCTGCACTATATGATGATATACGTACGGCGTTACACCCACATTTTCAACGCGTCCCTTTCAGTTAAGAAGACGTTGTTTGTCATTTGTCTTAGAGCTGATTCACTATTACATTAAACGTCATATATATCATAAATATTAAATACATAACGTCACCCTACTCTCAGGACAAAATAGTCTGTTGAGAAGAGATTGCATTACAGAAACAGAAATTGTAAGGGGTAAAAAATAAATATTGGATACTTCACTTAATATAAAGCACCTAATATAGTAGTTATTATGTTAAAAACGTCAAATCGAGTCTAACAGCCTAAAGAAAACTATTAGAAGAGGGCTACGACAAAATATAAGTGAGATTGGAGTGGTGGTGTGTCAGTGTGTGAACAAATCCAGCTGTGTTTATTGTGAATACAAGAGGGAAATACAGAAATTTCTACAAAATGTCAGGACGTTTGAACGGTGATAATGGAGCATAACATCAAAACCGAGTGCTCCATTAAGCGTTATAACATACTCTTATAAAATATAAAGGAATAGGTACCACATTATATATCAAAAAAGTATGAAATTTAACCAGTTATTATATTTTTTAAGAGCCAAGTCGTTCGGTATAAGTAGATTTTTATCTTGACGATTACCATTCATTTTAGCTTGATTTTATTTTTCACTTGAAAGCTGTTATTGTGAATTCCTAACAAATGTTAGATGGCGAAGATATTATGTGTTTTTTAGAAATTTTTAAAACTTTTACATCAAACCGCAAACTTATGCAATTGAATAATAATGATTGGGTCATAAACTACTCAATTGAAAAAAACTCACAATATTAAGCCTATAAAATATAAAGTATAAATACTGTACCGAAACCAAAACAATTCTACCACTATAATTCTGTCTTTAATATTTATTATTTTATGCTTCGAGGAATTGGTAGTTCACTTTAATCGACCGTGTCGTCGGTCAATAAATTATTTGTTAATGTCAATAAAAACTGTGTTAATAGTTGTTGGTAGAAAAGTATACACTAAAACTACGAACGAACGACTTTTTATTATGGCTTTATTTTAATTTTAATATAATAATGTAATATAAACGTTTTAACAACTTTACGATTTTCAAGTTAACATACCAACGAAAAAAATAACGGCTTCGTCCTACGTGGCCCGTGGGTGACACGGGACTACAAGTATATCATAGGCAGGCGCCTTGTTCACTTGTCCATTCGTCATCAAAACATGATTTTTATTTTCTAATAATACAAACTGGCGTTATAAACTAAAAATACTGTTAATGTTTTCCATGTGTGCATACTCTGAGAGGCAAGATAAAAAATCAAGATAGATTTATAGTGAAATAAATTTGTTCCAAAAAAGTTTAATGCTTCACAAAAAAAAAAAAAAATTAATTATAAGTGTCGTTTAAGTTGTAAAAATACGATCTCTTTACAATTTTGACTTTTGGTCGTACCGTGGATGTTTAATAAGTAAAAACTCGGTAAAACGCGTATGCTTATACTTATACTTGAGAACCTTTTGAAGTAAAAAATTGAAAGTCGAAACTTTTTTTTATGCCGCTATAGAGACAATCGTTTTAGCCCTTACTAACTTTTTGTCGACTCTTTGCCTCTTAATTTACAAGTTTTCTTTCATGGCGAACCCTATTCTGCCTAAAGATATCAATCTGAGAGTACTGTGTACTCTGCATAAGCGACACATGTGTCGAGTCAATAAACAATTTTTAACTAAATCCATTTTATCATTGTTTATAAATACCACACTTTGTCTGGCTATTGAATTTTTGTCCAAGCAGTGAATTTTGGAATTCTTCTTCTCCTAGCCAGAAAAAAAAGACAACTTTTTATGTAATGGCCAACAACGCAACAAGACCAACAAAATAACAATCTTGTATTTATTATCCGTCGCGGCGCTGCGCCAACCGTTGGAATGTCCA